GCTGGTTAACTCAGTTGGTTAGAGCATGGTGTTATAACACCAAGGTCAAGGCTTTCGATCCACTTAGCAGCCAGCCACCGAGAACAAAACAACAACAAAAATGCTTAGCACGGAGATTAGTAATATTTTCCATTGTTTTTCCTCATCTATCAGAATAAACTCTCAGATTCCTAACAATGCAGCAGAGAAGCTACACACGGGCCCCTCCCCCAAAAAGGCTGGTGGCAGCAGTGGGGTAGAAACGGAAGAGCCCAAGAAAAAGTCCTCAGTCTCTAGGTAAACATTTAGAGCAATGCTCTGAGAGGACTCTGGAGCTTCACATTTCATCCAGAGCAGGAAGCAGTTGGAGCAGCAGCTAAACTAGAGGAAAATATTCTTTCCAAGGCTGGAGAAGCTGCAAACTGACCTGCTGAGTGGTCCTTCAGACACAACCCCAAATCAAGGCCCCTCTGGAGAGAACCATGTTTGTGAATGAACCTAAGAGAATCTGCATCTTTGTTTTCTTAAACACACAGCAGTGATTCACTCCATCTGGAAGGCCTCGCCTACCACTCCCTGGGGCCAGAGTATCTGAAAGAGGGTGAGTTATGCTGGTCTCTTTCCTACAAGCCAGGGGCTTTCAGTTCACCTGTGTGGATGAAGGTGTGTTTTTTCATGTCTGACTTCTGGTGGAACCTCTTGCCACAGTATTGACAAGGATAGGGCCGGGTGTCTGAGTGGATGAGCAGGTGTGTGGACAGTGTGGATGACCTTTTGAAGCTCTTGCCACAGATTTTACAGTCAAAGCTCCGTTCCTGCAGAGAGAGAGAGAGAGAGAGAGAGAGAGAGATGCGGCACTCCTACTGCAGTCACCTAGGCTGCCACTTCTTCTTGCCACTAACCTGACCCTAAAATCCCCCAAATCAGGGCTCTCCTTCCACAGAGCCTGCACCATTATCCTCCCTCCCCCCATTCATTTTCAATCTCCACACTCCCCACCCTGGCCCTTTAACACCCACCGCTCAATACTTGTTCTACCAAAACACTTTTCACCCACAACCCTCAACACCTCATGACAAGAAAAATGTATCCCCACCCTGTGTTTTTGACACCCATTCACACACACTTCTCCACCCTCTTCATCAAGAGATTTAGACCTCAGTCACTTGAAATGCTCCCCACCCCTCAACCAGTGTTCTTACCAGGGGAGATGGGCTGCTACCCTTTAGTTAATGAGTCTTTGTAAGTGAGCATTCTCCTGCCCTAGTTATTAGTGTGCTCTTTTGCTTATCTACCCTACNTTTGTAAGTGAGCATTCTCCTGCCCTAGTTATTAGTGTGCTCTTTTGCTTATCTACCCTACGTCTCTCAGTTAAACTGTAATCTCCACGTGGGCTTGCTGTCAAGGACCTGGTGTGCTAGAGGAGTCTCTATTACTTGGCATCCCGAAGTTAGGCAAACAGGTATTTATAAACGAATGAATGAAAGAATAGCAGGGCAAATATGCTACTGGATGCTCTAAATGAGCTGAGGTCCCGCCTTTTCTGTGCGGAGGGATCAATGCAGATTAAGTGACAAACATCTGGTGAAAAGAATCGAGGCAAAGAAACAGAGCTAATAAATCTGATACATCAGTAGCAAGAGTCAGCGCATCCAAACCTTCCGCAAACCCGAAGCAATGATCGGGATTACACTCTCGAGGTTCACAATGATGTGACACCAGAATCGAGGACTGCATAAAGACCGGAGCCGCCCACTCCCCACCTTTCCCTACACACCTACACCAGGGCAAGGGGAACGTGGCGGAAGGGCTGGGGGAGGAGACCAGTGGCGGTCGGAGAGAAATTTTCCAGGCGGACAGCGGCTGGTGCTGCATGGAGGAAAAGCAGAAGATCCCGAGTGCGAAAACCTGAGCGGGGCCACGCGGCCGTGCGCCCCGCGCTTACCTGCGAGTGCACGGCTTTGTGCTGCTCCAGGCTCACCGCGTGCCCGAAGGTCTTGCCGCACATCTCGCAGGCAAAGGGTCTCGTGCCGCTGTGGGACCTACGCACGTGCACCTCGAGCCCGTGCGGCGTGGAGAACACCTGAGGCGGGTGGGGCCGGGGAGAAGGCCGCTGAGAGGGGCCTTGGGACGCGGGCTCTGGCGGGGCGCGGGACCGGGGAGCGGGCGCGGGGCCAGCGAGGCCG